CGCAAGGAAGGCAAGGCGGCGCAGGCGAGGCAGGGAGGGGAGGGAGGGACCTGGGAAGACCAGACACAAGGAGGCGACGGTGCATGCCACGGAGGCGTGGCAAGGAGGGGTGACCCAGGCGGTGGTGCCAGAGAAGAGTCTGGTGCGACAGGGAACGACACTCACAGGCGTGGGCTACCAGACCTGACGCGGACACCTGACCGACAGCAGCGACCTGAGGAGACGCAGTGGTCAGTGTGTAGAGACTCGACCCCGGCTGACGGGTAAACGTAGCCAGGTGACGGCCGGTCCTGGAGCACGTGAGGATCGCCACACGCTGTCCTCCAGGGGTAAAGGTGTCAACCCACTGATCCTGGATGACAGCGTTGCTCACCAGGTTCGTCGAGAACGAGGGGAGGTGGAAACCCGACAACGAGCCAGACGGAACCGCTGGACACGGGAGCACAGTGGTGGACCGTGCAAGGACGGGGCCCCCAGAGGGGTCAGCCAAGGAGACTGGGACCGGTGCAGGAAGCGGTGTGAGCTCAGTACGGTCACGAAAGAAACAGCGGGAAGCACCTGAGTCAAGGGTGAAGGTGTGACAGGTCTCAGCCGGTGCAGTACCTGAGAGAGCAGTCTCTGTGGGTGCTGTACCTGAGAGAGCAGACTCACAAGCAGCAGGGACAGTACCGGAGGGAGCAGCCACAGAGGGCACCATACCAGAGAGAGCAGACTCACTAGTACCTAGGGCAGCGGGCTCGATACCTGGGTCAGGCGGCACACACAAGTAACAGTCTCCCTCGGCACTAACAGTCAATGCATACATGGCAGCAATAATAGCATCATAGTCAAGAGCAAAGATATCAACACCAGCCCTCATCAGCTCCGCCCAGCGGGGGCGCTCAACATCCTCGCCCATCTCCTCACGCCAAGCGTCGTCAAGGCGGGAGAAGCAGCGGTACGGGGTGTGGAACCTCCCACACGTCTGTCCCTTGCGGTCACCTGTGCGAATGACATAGGAACAGCGGCCACTGCCCCCCGACGTCCCACGCTGAGCAAGCCACTCACGAAGCTGCTGGGTCGTCTGGGGACGCTGCTGCTGGTGGGAGCTCTGGCCCGAGCCAGTGCTGCCACTCCGACCTCCGCCGCCACCACTACCTCCGCTCCGACCGCCACCGCCGCCACCGCCACCGCCGCCACCGCCGCCGCCGCCACCACCGCCACTGCTCCCTCCGCCGCCCCCGCCTCCGCTGCCGACCCCACTCCCACCAGCACTTCCGCCTCCGCTCCCTCCAGCACCGCCTCCCCCCCCACCTCCCCCACCTCCTCCCCCCCCAGCGCCACCCCCGCCACCCTTGCCCCCCTTGCCCTTGCCGGTGCGGCGCCTCCCACCAGGAGCAGAAGCAGCGCCAGCAGACTCAGCACCAAGGAAGTCAACAGCAGCAGCAGTAGCGTAGGAGGGAGCGAGGGGAGAGGGAGAACACCCCTCAAAGATGGGGGTGCGAGGAGCGCCACGAGCAGCACCGACAGCTACAATGCTCTTCTCGGCCGCTAGCAGGTGCTCCTCTAGGAGGGCGACTGTGAGCTCAGTGGGACAGCGAGCAAGGAAGTGGTCTCGAACTGAGCTGAGGGTGTCAGGGAGACGGGTGACTATGAAGTGGAGTGTCCAGTACAGTGGAGGGGGGTTCTTAGCGCAGAACTCGGTGGGAAGGGCGGCACGCAGGCGAGCATCACTAGTGCGAAGGTGGGTGATAAGATCGGCGACTGTAGCAAAGGTGGACAGGTCAGGGAACAGGTAAGGCAGCATGAGGCGGCTAAGCTCGGCTGTGGCAGGTGAGGAGTAGCGAGCAACGACAGCGTCGTACAGGGCCTTAGCGGATTTGCAGTCGCCAAAATGCTCTAGCTCAGCTAACGGCAGGTGACTGCGAATGGCTAGGCGAGCAGCTGCGTCACGAGTCTGCCAGTGGGAACGAACACTAAGCTCAGCTGTGGCAGGAGGGGCAGGCGCAGCACCAGACGCGTAATCATAGAGCGACACATGCTCCTTGCTATCGCTCAGGAGGAACAGCTGCAGGTCATCTAGCCAAGCGGTGAACCGCACAGGGCGGCCCTCAGCATCGAACGACAGCACGCGGATGGAAGCCATAGCGACAGTGTGACAGAGTAACGCAAGCTGCCGCAGCAGGGGAAGGCGACTGTGCACGGATAGAGAGCAGCGGGCGAGGCTGGCGCTACGGGCAGGCGGCGCTGCAAGCGGGCAGCGCGGCGGGCGGGCGACGCTGCGAGCGGGCAGCGCGGCGGACGGGCCGGGAAGCGGGCAGCGCGGCGGGCAGGCGGCGCTGCAAGTGGGCAGCACGGCGGGCGGGCGACGCTGCGAGCGGGCGACGCTGCGAGCAGGCGGCGCTGTGAGCGGGCAGCGCGGCGGACGGGCCGGGAAGCGGGCAGCGCGGCGGGCAGGCGGCGCTGCAAGCGGGCAGCACGGCGGGCGGGCGACGCTGCGAGCGGGCGACGCTGCGAGCAGGCGGGCGACGCTGCGAGCGGGCAGCGCGGCGGACGGGCCGGGAAGCGGGCAGCGCGGCGGGCAGGCGGCGCTGCAAGCGGGCAGCGCGGCGGGCGGGCGACGCTGCGAGCGGGCGACGCTGCGAGCAGGCGGCGCTGCAAGCGGGCAGCGCGGCGGGCGGGCGGGCAGCGCTACGGGCGGCGCGACGAGCAGCGCGGCGGGCGAGGGCGCTAACGAGGGGCGCTAACGAGGGCGCTAACGAGAGGCGCGCGAGGGCGCTAACGGGGGCGCGCGAGGGCGCTAACGAGGGCGCACGAGGGCGCTACGAGGCTAGGGCACGGGGTAGCGTGGTAACCGCATGCGAGCGGTGGTGGGCCAAAAAAAAAAAAAAACGGTCGGTAGGTCCTAGGGACCTCCTGCTCTGAATACCATATCAACGAGACTAGGCAAGAATGAATGCATTGAATGGAAGAGTTGGGTACAAGTAGCAAACCCTAGTTGGGGTTGTACCCCATATTGGCTACCCCACTACAGCCTACCAACATAACACAGTTTAACACATAAGACCCCTTTTGGAACCCTTAAAGGGGAGCGCTTTCTCCTCTCACTTCAACTAAGAATAGGGCATATTTTCCGCTCTACCTCCTCTGCTGCTCGCCCCATTACTGAAGAGGAGTTCATTGAACACTGTCCACCTTCTGACTACCCTGCTGGCCGTAGGCTCCTTCATGAGATCATTGAAGCCATTCCTCGTGAGTGGAAAGTTCTACTCTCCAAACCTCCTCTACCCCAGGTGGCAGTCGGGGATTGGTTTATCCCTGTCAATGCCTCCCTTACGCTACCCCCCCTTGCGTTTGAAGCTGTTCATTTCTCCCCACCTTGTCACCTCACCGCACGCATCTTTCAAGTATCCAAGGATTCTATCATTCACAAAGAAATAATCTGTATTTCCACATTTGATATCGCGCATGTTATGTTTGCTCATGTACAGGGACGCCGGCTGTTTGGGCCTCTTCATGAAGGTGCAGGGCTTGGTGCGCGTCTGGAGATTCTATCTGAGGGAATCCCTTCACTCGCAGCCATCCGACGCCTTCTCTACCAACGGCAGCCTCTTGACCATGATACTCGGTGGACAGCGGCTCTCTCTGGCCCTCCTCCTCTCCTCCCTGACCTCTCTCACACCTTCCTTCGTGACCAACCGAGCCTACAACGGGATGTGCTGTTCCGCTTCTACATTCGCTCCCTACCGAGAGGGTCCCGTTTCACCTTCGCGGCAGATCGGGGTATTTGCTCCTCATGTCGGACTGGTTCGTTGGAATCGCTCTCGCACCTTTTCTTTGAATGCCCGGCAGCTGTGCCTGCGACTTTAGCCTTGCGCTCAGTTGCCCGTCGCCACCTCGGACTTCATCTCTCCACTGAAAAAGTTTACTTCCCTCTCGCTTCAAGGGTTGGCCAAACTGTCCCTTGGAACCTTCTTGTTGGTGCTGCGGCAAAGTTTATATGGACTAATCGGTGCGATCGTAGATATCGCGACGCTTCCATCACCTCCTTCGAGACGCTCCAACTCATTCTCGTTCAATTCCTCCTCGCCTTCAAAATTTTCCTTTGGCGCAGTTCCAGACAATCTGCCAAAAAGCAGCGTCGCTCAGCTTCTTGCATCTCCTGTGCCACAAAACTCCGCTTCATAGACATGTCATTTGATGGCACACCGCGCGTTCATCCTGACTTAAGAGTTTCTTGGCTGCTCAACGACTCTTTTAGACCTCCTTAATTTTCTTCCTACCGTTTGTACAGAGCAAACCTCTCTACAGGAGGCTGTTCCACGGGACAGTTGATTAGCGTAGGTTTTGCGCACCTTCTTATAGGGGGTTGGCTTGTTTGCCATTTTCAATTTGCTCTGTTCAACCTTGTATCTGATCACGATCAATATACAACCTTCAACCACTCACAAATGCAACTGCACAACAAGCAAAGAAATACATGAGACTACGACTGCGATTAGGGTGAAGCAACCACGCCGCCTCCCACCCGATTAGCCCAGCTACCCAAGCTCATAAACTAAAATCGACCTTCCCGACGAGCACGCGTCCTGTCCACTACCCCGCGCGTTAAACACATAACGAATCGTCCATTCCGAGGCGGCCAAGCAACAATGCGAGACGGGAGGCACCGTAGGCGCAATGCACACGACGTAGCCCGCAGTCGCCCTACGAACGAAAACCAAGGTTCCCACGGGGGCCACGTGCAGGTACGCCTGTACACGACGAGCATTGGGAGCTTAGCCTATAGTCGTGTTTACACCAGCACACAGCACCGCCCCTGACGGAATCCGTGACCATCATCGTGCACATGTAGCATGAGCGTACGCCATGCAGCGGAAGGAGTGCCCATAACGCGCCAAGCATGCATTGCGTGAAGAATAGATTAAAAAAAAAACCAGAAACGGGTGTGCAGTGCAAAAAGGCCGAGGCAAGAACATCTCGGACAACAGTAGCCTCTTAACGGGAATTACTGCACGCCTATGGTGCTCCCAGCGCGCAAAACAGGCCAGCGCTGCTGGTGGAAAGCTTAGCGACGCGCAAATCAGTACACCGCTAACGAAAAGCGGAAATAGCGCCATCCATATATGCGGGCAGCGCCGTGCATAAGAGGGCAGCGCCGTGCGTATGAAGGCAGCGCCGCGCCTATGAGGGCGGCGCCGCGCATATGAGGGCGGAGCCGCGCATATGAGGGCGGCGCCGCGCAGTTTAGGCGGGCGCCGCGCATATCAGGCCAGCGCGGCGCTTATCATGCCAGCGGCAATTCACACGGGCAGGGATATCATTTGACTGTTGCGCCGTGCAGGAATGGCCAGCGTGCGCTGTGACATGGACTGGCCGTCACACGTCGCAAGGGAACATTGTCCATAGTGTAGCGCATCTCAGTTTCCTACACTTGCCTGCATTTCCACACATTCGCCAGATGGGCAATCTTACACACGTATACAACGCACACTCACACTCACCAACCCAGCACCCTCAGATACCCCGACCCTTTAGTATCACATTCCTCTTTTTCATGCTCAAATTCTGGCGACCCGCACTTACACATTCCCCACCCTGCTCTCTCTGATCCCATTACCCCCCCCCCCTCTCACATTCCCCTACCAAGCACTCTTACAATCCCCTACCCTTCACTCTCACATTCCCCTACCCTGCACTCTCCCATTCTGCACCCTTCACTCACAAAAAACCTACAATTCACTCTCGCATTCCCTACCCTTCACTCTCACAATCCCCTACCCTGCACTCCCACATTCCCCTACCCTGCACACCCAAATTCCCCTACCCTTCACTCCCACATTCCCCTACCCTGCACTCCCACATTCCTGCACTCCCACATTCCCCTACCCTGCACACCCACATTCCCCTACCCTTCACTCCCACATTCCCCTACCCTGCACTCCCGCATTCCCCTACCCTGCACTCCCACATTCCCCTACCCTGCACTCCCACATTCCCCTACCCTGCACTCCCACATTCCCCTACCCTTCACTCCTGCAATCCCCTACCCTGCACTCCCACGTTCCCCTACCCTGCACTCCCACATTCACCTACCCTGCACTCCCACATTCCCCTACCCTGCACTCCCACATTCCCCTACCCTGCACTCCCACATTCCCCTACCCTTCACTCCCGCATTCCCCTACCCTGCACTCCCACATTCCCCTACCCTGCACTCCCACATTCCCTTACCCTGCACTCCCACATTCCCCTACCCTGCACTCCCACATTCCCCTACCCTGCACTCCCACATTCCCCTACCCTGCACTCCCACATTCCCCTACCCTGCACTCCCACATTCCCCTACCCTGCACTCCCACATTCCCCTACCCTTCACTCCCGCATTCCCCTACCCTGCACTCCCACATTCCCCTACCCTGCACTCCCACATTCCCTTACCCTGCACTCCCACATTCCCCTACCCTGCACTCCCACATTCCCCTACCCTGCACTCCCACATTCCCCTACCCTGCACTCCCACATTCCCCTACCCTGCACTCCCACATTCCCCTACCCTTCACTCCTGCAATCCCCTACCCTGCACTCCCACGTTCCCCTACCCTGCACTCCCACATTCACCTACCCTGCACTCCCACATTCCCCTACCCTGCACTCCCACATTCCCCTACCCTGCACTCCCACATTCCCCTACCCTTCACTCCCGCATTCCCCTACCCTGCACTCCCACATTCCCCTACCCTGCACTCCCACATTCCCTTACCCTGCACTCCCACATTCCCCTACCCTGCACTCCCACATTCCCCTACCCTGCACTCCCACATTCCCCTACCCTGCACTCCCACATTCCCCTACCCTGCACTCCCACATTCCCCTACCCTGCACTCCCACATTCCCCTACCCTTCACTCCCGCATTCCCCTACCCTGCACTCCCACATTCCCCTACCCTGCACTCCCACATTCCCTTACCCTGCACTCCCACATTCCCCTACCCTGCACTCCCACATTCCCCTACCCTGCACTCCCACATTCCCCTACCCTGCACTCCCACATTCCCCTACCCTGCACTCCCACATTCCCCTACCCTTCACTCCCGCATTCCCCTACCCTGCACACCCACATTCCCCTACCCTGCACTCCCACATTCCCCTACCCTGCACTCCCACATTCCCCTACCCTGCACTCCCACATTCTTGCACTCCCACATTCCCCTACCCTGCACTCCCACATTCCTCTACCCTTCACACCCACATTCCCCTACCCTGCACTCCCACATTCCCCTACCCTGCACTCCCACATTCCCCTACCCTTCACTCCCACATTCCTCTACCCTGCGCTCCCACATTCCCCTACCCTGCTCTCCCAAAATCCCCTACCCTTCACACCCACATTCCCCTACCCTGCACTCCCACATTCCCCTACCCTGCACTCCCACATTCCCCTACCCTTCACTCCCACATTCCCCTACCCTGCGCTCCCACATTCCCCTACCCTGCACTCCCACATTCCCCTACCCTTCACACCCATATTCCCCTACCCTGCACTCCCACATTCCCCTACCCTGCACTCCCACATTCCCCTACCCTTCACACCCACATTCCCCTACCCTTCACTCCCACATTCCCCTACCCTTCACTCCCACATTCCCCTACCGAGAACTCTCACACGAAGAACCTTGCACTCTCACCCACCCTCATGCCCCACAGTCTCAAGCCGTGGGGGGCCTGCACCCTCTCAATCCCCAACGCTGCAGACCCACAATCCCTCATGCCATGCGGCCTTGCATTCCCCGTGAGCCGGGGTTGTCTCACCATCGCACTCCCTGTCGTTCCCCTGTCCCGCACTCTCACATTCCCTCCTGTTCCGCACCCTCGCAACCCCTCCGGCCAGGAATGGGCACTCTCACATTCCCTTGTGCCCAGCACTCTCACATTCCCTTGTGCCCAGCACTCTCACATTCCCTCATGCCCAGCACTCTCACATTCCCTAACGATCCCACTCTCACCATCCATCTTGTCTCGCAGCCACATATTTCCTCCCGCACCCTCACATTCCGCCCTGCGCCGCACTCTCACATTCCCTCCTGCTCGCACTCTAACATTCCCTCCTGCTCGCACTCTTACGTTCCCTCATGTCCTGCACTCTCACAGTTTCAAACTGTGAGAAACCCTCACATTCTCCTGTGTCGTGCACTCTCACATTCCAAACTGTCCCGCACTCTCACATTCCCTCCTGCCCCGCAACGTCTTGCATACGGGCTTGCTGTGCACTCAAGCTTTCGCGCCTGCCCCGCACTTTCACAATCCCTCAGTCCCGGCACTCTCACATACCCTCATGCCCTGCACTCTCATATTCCCTCATGCCCTGCAGTCTCACAGTCCCCTTCCCTGCACTCTCACATTCCCCTACCCTGCACTCTCACGTGCCCCTTCTCTGCTGTCTCACATTCCCCTTCCCTGCATTCTCACATTCCCCTCCCCTACAGTCTCACATTCCCCTTCACTGCAGTCTCACATTCCTCTACCCCGAACTCTCACCTTCCCCTTCCTTGCACTCTCACATCCCCCTACCCTGAGACTCTCACATTCCCCTTCCGTGCACTCAACTTCTAGGGCACTCAACTCTCACATTCCCCTTCCCTGCACTCAAACATCCCCCCTCCCTGCACTCTCACATTCCCTATCCTGCAATTCTAAGTTATCTGCACATTCTACAACATGGAACAACTCCCCAACACCCATTCCGCCAACAGGAGGGCCCCGAGCAGGACAACGGGAGCGTACCCAATGAACATCCTTACAAACCGGCCATGGATGCACTCAAGCAACGCACCGTTATCATTGGGACCCACATGAAGATACCCATGGCCCTCATGCGATGCGGCTTGACAGCTCTCAGTGGTGGAAAGCAGGTGGCGAGCACAAATGATGTGTTGCATGTGCTGGTATCGGAAGCCAGTGAGGCAGTTGCGAAGATGCTGGCAGCCGCTGCCACAGCAGGCAAAAAGGGGGGGATGGGAGCATGGGAATGTGTGTACATGCAGTGCATTAGCGCCTCTAAGAAGTGATGAGCGTGGTGGCACTATCATCCTTGCCCTCCTTTCCGTAACTTCCTGTCAAGCGATCTCCAAGGGGCCATCATTGACGCATGCGGCCCGCATCCTACATAAATCAAGACATCTATTTTGGGATGAAAGAATTGTTGGGGGAATACAAGAGGACACTGGAGGGGTGATAAGTATGTATGTGTGGGACCGCGGGACATGTCCAATGCACATACTTCTGGTATACCATGCCCCTCATTGCGAGCTTGCCTATTGCAGGACCTGATGGGGAGGCATCTCTCGCAACAGCAAAAATGCACTTAGAGGCACAGGAACGGTCCATTCGAAAGAGGAGGAAGGGGGATGGGGCCACTGTAACCGACATTCTGCAAAGGGTCCCAAGCCATTCACAACCTTTCACGTACAACCTGCCGACATACACTTGGACTGCGGCTGGACAGCTGGTGCCTGTCAAGGGTTTCAAGCACGGAGGACCGAGAAAGGGAACCAACTATGAGACTTTAAAAGGGACAGGTACGCATGCAGGGAATCCCGCGGCCAGGACTGCTGGTTGGGGGTGGGGGTGCTAGAATGGCCTCAAGTGCTGGTTGGGGGTGGGACGGGCTAGCATGGAAGAATGGGCTGGAAATGAGTTGCATGGGGGGGTAGCATGGCTGTTCATGTGCTGGTTGGGGGTGGTGGGGCTAGCATGGCAGCACATAAGAGTAAATGGGTGGGGGGGCTTGCATGGTAGCACCTGGGAGTGAATGGGTGGTGTGGCTAGCATGACAGTACATAAGAGTAAATGGGTGGTGGGGTTTAGGGGGCAGCATATGAGAGTAAGAGGGTGGTGGGGCTAGCATGGCAGCACCTGAGAGTAAGTGGGTGGTGGGGTTAGCATGGCAGCACCTGAGAGTAAATGGGTGGTGGGGTTTGCCCACCAGCACCTGAGAGTGAATGGGTGGTGGGGCTAGCATGGCAGCACATGAGAGTACATGGGTAGTGGAGCTATCATGGCAGCACCTGAGAGAGCAAATGGGTGGTGGGGCTAGCATGGCAGCACATAAGAGTAAATGGGTGGGGGGGCTTGCATGGTAGCACCTGGGAGTGAATGGGTGGTGGGGCTAGCATGACAGTACATAAGAGTAAATGGGTGGTGGGGTTTAGGGGCAGCACATGAGAGTAAGAGGGCGGTGGGGCTAGCATGGCAGGGGCTGAGAGTAAGTGGATGGTGGGGTTAGCATGGCAGCACATGACCTTATCTTGCCTATTCTGTGAGGATGGCCCCATGTGCAGATCCCGAGGATCGTCCGGAAGTCTTGGAGCGGGATGGGGAAGTCCAGTCCCCATGCATGGAGAATATTGTTGCATGCGGAGGTGACGTGGAGGGCGAAGTGGCGGAGGAGGTGACAGGAGACGCAAATGCGGACGATGCCCCTCTTGACCATGTGGCGGGGGGCCAGGTAGCCACGCCTGCAGACACAAATGCGGTTGCTCCAAACTCAACAAATGCAAGGTGAGAGCGACGAGTTTTGTTACACATGTTGTGCAGCACCCGTGTTGCATTTCCATGTATGCATGCCAAACAAGTCTTTTCATGTGCGCCCATACTCAATGCATGACGTACCTGAGCAGGGCAGCACCCGCCACGTCGGACGCTCCAAGGAGTACCCTTAGAGTTCAACCGGTGGCCGCAACGATTCCGAAACCGGCCGACGGCATGGTATGCCTACTCGACCCTCGAGAGATCATACGCTTCTTCACACCTATGGGATTATGCTGCAGCAAGAGTGGAGGTTGCAAAGGCACGATGACCCTTACGTCTTGGAAACGTTAGTCTCTGTCTGACTTGGACGTGTGAGAGTTGAGGCAGAGTTCTACCATGGTGGTCCACGAAGCGTGGCCGCACCACTGGTAGTGGCAGTACCAAAGGGCCGCAATCCTCCCCTTTATTTGCCCAAGTATATAGCCTCTTTTGCTCTTGCGGGCATTGGTTTCCAACAGCTGTGGGAAGTGAGTCGATCGCTCGGCATCCCAACCATCGGGAAAGAGACCTTTTACAGGTACATGAGAGGTTCCAAGGGGTTATGGAAGGCCATAGAGGATGAAGCTGAGAAGACTATGGCCGAAGTGCGGGAAGAGATGGGCAAACGACTCGTTCCATGGGAATCGGTATGCGTAGATGGGCGTTACTCACATCCACGCGAGGCCGAATGGGGAACAGTGACCTTCATAGACTCCATCACTCGCAAAATAATGCACCAAGTGACCAAGTCGAGGGTAAACGAGAAGTCATCCTCGACTGAGCTAGAAGGGATCGCGTTTAGGGAGGGCCTGAAGCAGTTAGCTGCGATGGTGGTGCACATAAGAGGTATTATTTCCGACGATGGCAGCTCTTTTAAGACAGCAGCTGCGGACTTAGGACTTGCACATCAAAAAGATGTGTGGCACAAGGCAAGAGCACTTCACAAGAAGTTTTTGAAACTATTGGTAGATGTGCTACGAGATCCGATAGAAGTTGAAGCTGCTACGTGCACTGGGGATTTGTGGCTATGCACTGCCGCACAGTTGTGGGGGTGGTTGAAACAGCGGGGCGGTGCAACGGAAGGTCTAAGTGGCAGGTCATCAAAGACAAATCTCATTAAATCTGTATGTGCAACCCTCAACAAGTTCGCTTACGAACCAAATGCTATGCCGACGTCAAAGTGGCAATTTCCAGATTTGCGGAAGGTACTACAGATGAAGGAGCGTGGAGGGGGCCTCTGGCCAGCGTGGCCAAGCGCCAAAAGACAACGAAGGATGGACAGGGACAAGGCGATGTTGGAGTCGAACAGGCTGTGACTGTAGAAGAACCCCCGGCTGTGCCGACATCGGGGGCGGATGAACCCTTGCCTGAATGTGCCGCGACTGTCGGTGCAACCACGGCTGAACGGGTCTCGAGTGTGGATGCAGCAACGGTTGCGCATACGTCCGGAGTATCCATACCGGAGTAGGTCATCAACTTCCAATGGGCCGGTGTGCAACAACACTGGGAGTTCGACCCTCATCCAACGCATGGTGTTCCTGTGCCTGCGGAAGCCGAATACGTGCAGCTCACAGCGGAGGCAATGATCCATGGAGAGGCCGAATGTGGTGCAGGGAGCGGAGGAGAAGATGAACACGGTGAGATGTCCTTTGGGCACGTTTCAGTCTCATTTTTAGAGTTCATGCCATCATTGTTCTTTGCGGTCCATCTCGTGCCATCCAGTCATTTCCCCACTTTCCAGCCATCATCGTTCATTGCTTCACATTTCGTACCATCCAGACATTTCCCTACCTTCCAGCCACCTGTGCTCCTTGCTGTCCATCTTGTACCATCCAATCATTCATTGCTGTCGGTTTCACACGCTCGAAGAACGGAAATCACACGCTTTCTTAGCATTTGCCATTCATGTGTGCAGAGATGGAGTAGTTGCATGCCTCTTCCATGGACACGATCCAACCAGACAACGTGGATGACAATATGGGTTGGACCGAAAGGGGTAGCTCCAAAAGGAAGCGTAGTGGGGCTGACGCTGGACTAGCTGATAAAGAAGCGTACTATGAGGTGACGTTGGTGCAACGGTGGAGTACGCACTTCAACCATGTGATGGTGAATTGCAATATGATGGTGAAAAATGGACAGACTCCGTCAGCAGACCATGTTGCACATCAACTTGCCGTGTCGGCAGACCATTGGGCAGGGATTCACACCAGCTGCGGACATGCGGGTGAGATACCTCGATGCGTATCAGAGCAATGGGGACCGGAGAGTGCAGTATACAAACCTGGCTCTGAGGCCCATTTGGCACTCCGAGAATGGCTTGCTGAGCATTGCAGTGCGAAAGAAATGGAATCCTACGTGCGGGGCACGAGTAACTGGCTGAATGAATCATTTTATTCCTTAGTGATCAAGTACGCACCGAAGCGGATCCATTTCCAAAAGAGTATGGTGTCTAGAATTGGTCTTTCTGTTTTGCACTGGAACCAAACGGTGTCACGTCTTGTCGTAGCTATCAAGACACGCGTCCGGAAGACAACTAGGGTGAGGCGTGGTTGCAAGGAGCGGATTTTGTCGGACATGGACTGGAGCTGGTTGGACAAACTCATGGCAGATTGGCGTGATGTTGGGCTCGAACGGGATGATGCCGCGCTGTCAACTCGGCGGGATGAGGAGGCTGAGTTGACGGAGCCGCTTCATGTGGATGCAACCCCTGATACACCAGTTTCTGCTCACACTATCCCCCCTCTACCGGTGGATGCAGAGGCAGCCCCTCGTGATCTATCCCAAATTCAGCAGCCTTCTACTCCCCTCGCTGGTCTCACTCCCGTGTCCACAAGCCACCATGCCGCAATCGCGCCAGCCACCCCCGTGTCCACCAGCTTCGTTTTTACCGCCTCTGGTGGCCACATGATGCCAATTTCTAGGGCAGCTCGAAGCAGGAGGTCGAGATGCACTCTCAATCAAGTGGCTGCGCGCAGACCACTCTTTCGTATGTGCATTGCAATTGTCTTTGCTCTGGCTTGTGCTGATTTTGTATGACGACCAAC